GGCGCCCCCGCCATGGGCGGCCCGTAGAGGCGCGGGCTCGGCGGCTGGTGCGCTGCCTGCGCGGCCGCGGCGGCCATGGCGGTGGAGACGCGGCCGGAGCTGGTGGGGAAGCGGTTCCTGTGCGTCGGCGGCGGCGAGGAGCCGCCGGAGAGCGGGCGCTGGCGGGCCGGGGTCATCCGCGCCGTGTCGCAGCGGGACTCGCACAGCGCCGAGCTCGCGGTAAGAGCCCCGTCTCGTCCCGTCCCGTCCCGCGCCGTCGCGGGCGGGCTGCGCGGGGGCCGCGGCGATGACACAGCCCTTCCCGGGCGGGCAGCGGGCAGCGGCCGCCGGCCCCGCGCGGCGCGCCCGGCCAGCGCCGGGGCGGCTCCCCTCCCTTCCCCTCCCCTCCCCTCGCGGACCCCGGGCGCCGCGGGGCCCGCGCCCAACGGCCGCGTAACGGGCGCCCAACGGCCGCGTAACGGTCGCGCGGCGGGGGGAGCGCCGGAACGGCGCGCCTGCTCGGAACTGCCCGAGGCGGTGGGTGCCGGGGGGCAGCGTGCGGGAGCCGCGGCCCCGCTGGGCGCCGCAGGGCGAATTATTTGAGACATGTCCTGGTTGGGGCGCGGGCCCGGGGCTGTCACGGCGCGGCGCGCGCAGGAATGCGCGGCGGCGCCGGGGCAGGGCYCGCGCGGCCCCTCCGGCCCTGCCAGAGGGAGCGTTATTGTGCGGCCCGGCCCGCGCCGCCGCGCTCATTCATTTACTCCTTTTATCGTATTTTGCAAATGCCGGGGCCGGGCGGGAGTTAGGCTGCTGCTGTGGTTGTCGCGCCCTGTGTTCCCTTCTGCATCATTTGCTGCTTCTGGAAACACACTTATAATACCAGGATTGTGCAGTTTTGCATTTCGTGGGCTTGGAGAAGGGATCGCTGGCTGCCCTGGGCAGCCTGGGGTGCTGCTGGTAAGGTGGAGAAAGTCCAATTTCGGTGTAGTTCCGAGAGGAATGCAGGCTGGAAAAAAAATGGTGATGTGGCTTCAGAGATCATTGGTTGCTTGCGACGGTGCTAAAACTACATTTGGCAGAATTAATGTGCACATTGCTGCCTCCGTGCCCCGCCGGCCCGCAGCGGCGTTTGGCAGGCAGCGTGCGTGTGCCGGTGGCAGCGCCGCTTGGCTGCGAGGCCGTCGGCTTTCCCTGGGCAGGCACCATTTGAGCAGCGTGCTCTTCGTGCCCTGCCTCCCTGAGATGGCCTGTGCTTCAGCCTTTGGTTGCATGGGAGAATGCTCTGGGCTGTTTTTGAAATCTCTTTCAAGTGTTCTTCTTCTGGAATAGTGTTGTAGGTTCTGTCTAYGTTTGTGAAAACACTGAGTGTCATTCAGGGAGATGTTTACTAACATTTGCTAGTGAGAGCCGCATTTTGTAGACTCTGGGGGCAGAACTGACATAAAGGAAGGAAGGGTGCTAAAACCAGGCTTTTCAGGGGTTGTCTCCTTTGTGTTAGTCATGTCTACTGCCTATTGTCCTTGCTTGGCTGGTTATGTGGGTATCCAGGGGCTTTTCTCCTCAGGTTCTCCCCCATTGCAGTTCCTTATGGTTTAAGGAGAAATTGTCATCTCTGTTTTATGGATGGGGTCCTGAGACAGGATGACTGAGGGTAGGTCTCTCTGTGCTCCACTGGAGGCCCATTCAGATGGATGCAAACTACTGGAGAAGCAGGTACTTTGTCGCCGTGCTAATGTGCCTGTGTTCCCCTGGAGCGGGAGCTGACCGCACGCATTATCCTCTGTGGAAATGCTCCTAGTGATCTCGGAGCGCAGGAGGCCAGCGAAGGTTTAGGAAATGTTTTCTAGGCTTAGAGAATTCCAGGCTGGGATCTTAACTCCTGGGGCATCCTGTGTGCTGYGTACATGGATTTCATGATGCCCCTTCCATGTCCCCCAGGCACAAACAAGTTTAAATAACAAAGGAGTGGGTAGGGGAAGAAACAATGAGGTTTGTGTTAGCAACAGGTAGTTTCCATGGGTTAGAATCTTTTGCATTTGTAATTAACAACTCATTAGTTGGTAGTTGATGACATGAGTCTCCTCCTCTGTGCATCTCCACCCCCCTGCAGTGAAGAACAACAGCATTTTCCTGTTAGCCCTGGTTCCTGGTATACTGTGAAAAAATGAGTGTTTGTCTTACCCTGTCACAGCTCTGGTTTTCAGGTGGTTATCCTGWTGAATAGCTCCAGCCCCTTCTATTATGCCACCTGTGTGTGAAGTTGCAGTGCTTTTCAGCAGTTCCATTGCTGCCCATGGGATGCAGCAAAAAAATGTTGAAAAAAAATATTTTTTCTGTCAATTTTGTATGTTCTTGGCCCCTCTCTATAGGGCAAGGACTTTGGGAACACAGAATATGCCCCCAGTTACAGTAGAGAAGAGGGCATCAACGGGCGTTTTCAAGCTTCTTTGCAAAGAGCTAACTTACCTTTTAATCTTGGTTTGGCAAGGAAATACCATTTATATTGCTTTTCTGCCTCCTTTGCCCTTGCTAAACCCACGGGCAGCTTCACTTAACTTAGAGTGGGGAGAGGTCTAAGAAAGATCCTCCTTCCCCCAAGTCTGAGAGAGCTGATGTGAGAGGAGAGCTAGCCCCCCTCTCCCCTAGAAGAGCGGAAAGGGAAGGAGGGAGGTCATGCATTTTGTGTGCTCCTCCTGGAAGCTCTGAGGTGTCTTCCAGCTGGCCAAGTAGTGTGCACGGGGCTGCCACCAGACCCGGCCTGTGTTGCCTCCTGCTTAGCCCTGGGTGCCAGGGGAGGCGCTGGGGGATGCAGCTGATGGAATTGTGAAGGGCATGAGAAGGAGCTGGGAGCTAACCAAGTGCCAGTGTAAGCCTGAGTAGTTGGAGATGGGAATACAGGCACTACTCGAAATATTAGGAGGTGAGAGATCTCAGGGAGATGTGGCCAAGCTTGGAGGCGGCTCGCACAATTACTGGCAGCTGACCCAAGAGCTTGGAGGAGCAAATTGGTAGGAAACAAAGCTCCCTTACTCCTGGTGTAAACTTAACAGACACGTCAGCTGTGCAATGGTAGGCTACCKGCTCTCCCCTGAGAAGTAGGTAAAAATGCAGTTCCACTTGTGATATATTACTTGATTTTTTTTTTTATGATCATGTTTTTGTAACTAAATTCCTATTTTTTTGTAGTTGCGATTGTCATTCTCATAAGGGTATGAAACAGAAAAGTAATAATGGTGTCYTGAAGTGTTCAGTGTTAAAGAACTCGGATACCCCTACCATCTCCGTAGTAATAAGTTCTCTTCTACTCCCYGACACTATTAAATAGCTAAATCGGTTAATTTTTCCCTGTAAATGTTACAGAAAAAGAGAAGTATTGGGTTATCTTTTCTTCCATTACTTTATGGATATTTTGCTTCTTTCTACGTAGCTATTAACATAGCAGTGGAAGAGAATGTGGTGGAAACAGCTGGCACTCGTTCCATGTACTGTTGCTCTTCTGGAAGATGACTGTGTTGCTCTTGCAGTATGTACAGATCCTTCTTGCCAGGATTTGCAACCCCTGTCTCTTACTAACTCGTGATGTAATGTTTAGARACATTTAATAGCACCTGCTATGCAGGTATAATAGTATGCAATTTAAACTTGGAGTTTTCAGGGTGGTTTCTATGGCCTGAGTCACAATTTGATAGTTAGATCTCTTGGTCTTTCATTCCTGAGCATTCCTATTGCGTAAACAGTATTTATTTGCAAATAGAAASGTGTGTAATATATATAATTTATCCTGTTTGTTTCACTAATCTTGAGAGAGTATATAGCTATCTTTCTGCTTAATTGGCTGCTCTTAGAGGTAGCTGAAAATGCTCTTTCTCTGTGTTTSTAACTGTCTAGAAAAGCCTGTGTGCTGATCTGGTTGCAGTGATAAGTCTGTGCTTCTAAATGAACAGCCTGGAGGAAAGAGGAGGAGTTGACACCTATGATCTCCCTGGACTSTGCTGTCCTGTGAAAACTGCTCACTGCGCCACAGGTTGCGAGATGCCTCTGTAGTCACTGTGGCCAAGATTGCACATGGTCATGGCAAGGAGAAAAGATGTCTCCTTTCCTAGATCATGCTAAAATGGATTATTTACAGGGGTTCTTATCTACTGCATGTCAGCTGAATGTCTAGAAATTACTTCTGTGTTCTGTGARGTTTATACAGTTTTGTTATCGTATATTGAACATTATGATACAATAAGTTGAATGTTTCCTTTGCATGAGAGAGAAAATAGAAACTGGGCTTTGGAAAASTAATGTTCAGCTCTTAACAGAAAGTATAGTTATCAGTTGCAGTGATTTGTAATCAAGTTTGCTTTTATAAACGTGTGAATTTTGCTGTCATGTCATTATGGCAGAGTTGGATGACAATATCAAGAATCRAGCTCTGTGAGGGTTCAATATCTTATGATAGGCAGATCTAACATTTAGTAATTGTGCGTGGGGAAATATATTATGGCAATAAATCACAATGTGTTAGATACTTAGGCTTCTATGGAGGAGGTACATTCAAAGTACTAGTGATAATTTTAGGAAGTTGTTTCATTTTTTTAATGAATAAGCTATATTGGGAAACAATACATTAATGATAGTGGGTTTTTTTTAGTATTCTATCTTTGAACAAAGAATTGTTTAAAGTTCAGTGTCCTGTTAAAATCATTCAAAGAGAATAACCGTAGACTCTTAACTTGATTTGTTCTCGTCTAACAGTAAAATGCAAAATCAGAAAACAATGGAAAAATATAAACAAAAAATAGCAACTGGCATGCAAACTATCCGAAATAATTACTGATAATTCAAAAATAGAATATTTTGGAGCAGTGTTCTATATGCCGAGAGTTTTTTACTAAAAGTTGAAGGTAGGTTTGCTTCTGCTGACTATGGAATCATTCTTACGCCATATTTTTATGTACTGAAATCCATTTAGTTTTTCAACTTTTGCATCCAGAAACTTCCTGAGTGCAATATAATTTTATTCTACTGTCACAGAATGGCACTTCTGTATGCTGCATTTTTTTCTGTCATATATTGATTTTACTGAAGTATTTTCTGTGTTGTTCTGTGTTTTCCTTTTGCTAAATTAGTATGTAAGGWGAAACTGACTCTGTTAAATTTTTACTGCATTTAAGCTAACCTGATAAAAATGAGCACTTCTTTCATCCTTTTAGAATTACATACCCACCAATTTTTACTTATTTAACCTTAAA